CGAACTCATGCGGAAGTGGCTTAAGCTTCTTTGTGCTGTGCTTTAGCCCACTGAGCCACCAGGGAGGGCCCTACATGTATGTTTTTTAAAGTATCTTAAAGCTCAATATTCTACCAGCTCACTTTTTTTCAAATTATTCATCATAGTATGAGGAAACATTCTGAATAACACTACTATGGAGAAGTGACCTCAGAAACCAGAATATTAACTGAAAGACAGGGTGACTTTTCTTTGCTTAATTACTGAAAAGAAAAAAAAAAAAAGAACAGTGCCCACTACATTGTATACCTTGAATAAAGACTTACTAATTAAACCCTTAAACTATCATTTCTTCAAATGAGCTACAAAACACTTAAGAATCCCTCATCAACTTTATATCAGTAATACAAAATTTTACTAAATCTAACTATACTTCAGATCGCAACAGTAAGAAATAAAACCCCAGCAAATCAGATATATATTACAATCCAATAATTTTCTTAAATTATACTAATATGCCTAGGTTCCCTGTGAAATAAATTTACAAGTAGTCTTTATTCTTCAGGATACTTGTTGCTACTAAGGTGTTTATTATCATGGAATCTAAAGTAATCATCACAGGCTACATTTCCCAAATAGAAATAGTCTAGAAATCCACAATGATACACAAATGGATCCGAATAATATCAGTTCTACCTGGGCAATACTGAACTTCAAGTGATAGCTTCCAAGGCAGTCTTATACAATTGACAATTTTTGAATAAAGATTAACTTCTTAGAAATTCATAGAGAGATTTTCCTGTATCATGTATTAAGGTAACCTAACTTTCTATAAACAGTTCTATTGTCTCAAACTAAATGACAGAAAATTAAAGGAATGGTCCTTACAAATATTCTAATAAATGTGGAAAGTACAGTATTAAGGGAATATAAAGCAGATATGACTTACATTTTCCTTAAGTGATCTTTCCAATAACACCATTTTAAATGAACACATTTTTCTACATACCAAAGTTCATTTTTTACTGATTACTAAGTAAAGCATAAATGTTTTCAAATAACTTTTCCTAACAAGTACAAATCTCCAATATCAATAAAAGCAAAGATGGTTACCTGAATTCAACAATCACTTCAAATTTTCATTAATAATTCCACTAATTTGTATATCTTACTTTAAAAATTTTTTGGTAAATTTGTTTACAATGTCCATTAAAAAATCTACACCTATGGTAAAATGTATTTTCTATCAAGCTAGATAAACATTAATGGCAGGGTCCTCCCTGGTGGCGCAGCGGGTTAAAGCATTGCACTAAGAAGCTTAAACCACTTCCGCATGAGTTCCATCCCCTCCTGCCCCGGAGGTGACCGCATGGCATGGCAGACCTCTCCTGACCTGCCCGCTGCTCCCCTCAGAGGTGTACTTCGTCGATCTGCCTGTTCTGCTCCCCACTTTGTCCATGGTGAATCCTCTCACCCTCCACATCTCTGGCCTGTACCCCAGTTCTGTATGAATAAATAAATCTTTAAAAAAAAAATTTAATGGCTATAGCACAGACATATTTTTAAGAACTCTGTTAAGTAAAATATCTAGACTGTATTAGGAGATATCTAAATGTATCAGGGAATCTGGATACAAATTCAAGTTAACAAAAGCTCCCAAGACAAAGCACAATAATAATGAGCACTTACTTTTTAATTTCTTCTTCTACTACATTAACTCCATCTTTTTGAGGGTTAAGAAATTTATTAGTGGCACTGCCAAAGTCACAAAGTACATAATTTCCACCATCATTCAACAAAATATTTTCTACCTTAAGAAAAGAAAAATAGTTAATTAGTAGTTTGAAAAGTAAAAAATATCTTTTTTACAACCAAGTATTTACACAGAGATCCCTCAACGTCATGGACAGCACAATTTCAATTCTAATTATCAGCCGTGAGATGGTCTTGGGAAAAACTCAGGGACAGAGAGACCAATTCAATGCTAAGACAAACTGGTTTACATAAAAACAGCCCAAGCAAATTTTAACTCAAATTTTAAAATGTATTAATCCATAAGTAGTCCAAAATTCATACCTTCAGATCTCGGTGAATTATTGGAGTCTTACACTGATGCAACCTTGCAACAGCTTCGCAGGTGTCACAGAAGATCTGTAACACTTCTGTTTCCATAAATCCTGTCTGCAGCTTCTTATTCATTTGATTCACTACCTGTCCAGCTAACCAAAAAAATAAAGAACATATTTTTATGAATGAATGCTTTCACAAAAAAAATATAGTTTTTATGTTTTGCAAAGAAATATTACAATGTCCTTATTATGTTCTTAGAAATGTAATGTCTTTATGGTTCAATGACATGATTTTTTATACTTTATATATATCTTAACACAGATAACTTGTTGATGTTATCAGCCATTTTTAACAGGTTAACATCTCTGTAATAAAAGTGTAGCTTAAAACGAATGGCATCACAGATGTGAAGAAACAATGATTCAATTTACTATTGGTAAGCATAGTGAGAATAAAGTTTCTATCACAATGGAATTTCCTAGAGGCAAACATTAAACAATCATAAAACACATGCAATTATATACAATAAGGATAATATGAGAGAAACCTAAATTTAAAATCAGTGAAAGGATGGGGCAGAGAGGATATCAGATAAGACCTGTCAAATGAAGTGATATTTATGTTGAAACTGAAAGATAAATAGAAATTAACCAGACAGAGAAATAGGAAGAACATTCTAGCAAAAGTGAGTAGTGGATACAAAGAATGGGAAATAGTTTAGTGACTGAAATCTTAAAATCATATTATTAAATTTTATGGGAGACTTCCTTATCTGACCTTTAAGCTATTTCTTTGATTGAAGTCTAAGAGACTCACAAGAGCAGAAAGAGATAGATGAAGAGGTTATAGCTCTACTTCATTTAAGAGATGACATGACATATTTTAATACTGCATCTTTCACATTCATTTAACAATCACATACTACCCCTGATTTTCTGAGTTCCTTCTCTTGCATACACTAAGGAACCCACTAACACTGCATATTCTTCTCTAAATAATGCAGTATAGAATACAGAATAAGAATAAACATCTAGGGCCTTCCCTGGTGGCGCAGCGGGTTAAAGCACTGCACTGAAAAGCTAAAGCCACTTCCGCATGAGTTCGATTCCTGCCTGCCCCCGGAGGTGACCACATGGCGCGGCAGACCTCTCCTGACCCGCCCGCTGCTCCCCTCAGCAGTGTACTTCGTCGATCTGCCTGTTCTGCTCCCC